GAAACGAAACTTAACAAGCCTTAACTTTTGAACATATACAACAGTTAGTAGGCTCCATCTGCTGGTAATAGCTAAAATAGCAGTTTAAGAAAAAAGAGTCCAGGAAATTATTGAACTTTATGAGGAAAGCTTGGTCTGAACAGAAGGAGAGTAAAGTTGTATGGAAAAGAGATTATTCAGCACAATCAAGAATTAAACCTTCAGATTCCCATCTGGTGAGATTGTCAAAAGTGGAAGTGGAAGTAGATGCAGAAGTAGAAATGGCCCAAAAAGCTGATAGATCTGAGATGAACTTAATGTTGGATGCAATTACGAAGTGAATGAAAACGTCATGGAAATGAAATAAATGATGTCAAATATGGGTCAAAAAGTGGAAAATATGGACCAAAAATGGAAAAGATGGGTTTAAAAAGTGGGAAATATGAGTCAAGACTTGCAAGAAATGGGGAAAGAATTAAAAGATGTTGGAAAGGACATTAAGACCAATCAAGAGAATTATTAAAAATTTAATCAAAAAATTGATTCTTATTTTAAAAAATGATGAAAACATTGAGGGATTGCAATCTCAAGTTAAACAAAATGTTGTTAGACTATTGGACAATGAAATCGCTATTACGGATTTACAGCAGCAGATGATTTTATCACAGGATTACAATTGTCGTAATAATATTAGATTGAAAAGAATTCCAGATTTGGACTCCAAAGAGAAGGACTTAACTGAACTAGCCCTAGCCTGGCTGAAAAAGATAGCCCCAAAAATAATGTCATTATCATATATATGTAGTTTAAAACATGCAATGTAGATGGTTTATGTAGTCATGAGAAAATATAAAATGGATTCAGAATGGTTCTGTGTGAAGCTAATTTTGAACACTGGGAAGATTCTCAGAAGAGATGGTGAGAAAAGTTTCTTCTACCCAGCACAAGAAGGACCAGATAAGGGAGTGAATTCCATCCTAATTGGGACCAAGATTAGAAGAGGAAAACAACACCTGGACACCCTTAGACTCCAATGGGAACAGAGGGCATAACGAGAACAGACAACCCTAAATTATCATTGGTCAACTCCTTGAAAGATGAAGAAGGGTGGTGCTTAAGGTGTAGAAGATGGAGATTTTGCTACGTGAATTGTTTCCTTGGTCTTTAGAGAGGCTTGGGGTCCATTTTTGCCTTTTATCTATGAGTAACAGCTTAGGTATGTGAGGAGTGAGAGAAAGAAAGAGGGGGGCTTTATGCCTTTTTGCCTACCCTAAGGAAAAGCCTTGTTTTCAGAAGTTAGTTCTTTTGGCTTAGATGAAACTTGTTATTCATTTAACTGCAATATTCTATGGAAATGTAACCTATGCTTTGCTTATGTAAAAAACGGAATATCTTGAAATACTTTATTTTTCAATAAAATGTATTCCTAATCCTTAAGAATTGTCTTTTGAACAGCAAGTCTGCTGAGCTTGCTTCCAAAGGGGGAATTGCATGGCCACGAGAGTGTTAGTATCGGAGTCCTATCTCTCTGAGCTTTGGTGGGTCTTGGAAGACTACAAAGCCCAGGTGCCTGTACTTGTTTAGTGTAACTAAGTGCAGGGGTGAATCTTTTAACGACGATAATCCATTTCAGGAAAATCACCATTAAGCGAAAACACCGTAAAGCGAAAAGAAAAAAACACCAATTGAAACGCATTGAAACCCCTTCAATGCGTTCCAATGGGGTCAAAACTCACTGCCCAGCGAAGATCCTCCATAGGGCAGCCGTTTTCGCTGCCTGTCTTGCAAGGAATCCGTCCCAGAAAACAGCGGGGAGCTATTTTGTTTACCCGGTGGCCATTTTGAAACCGCCGATCAGCTGTGTTAAAATTGTCGTTTTGCAAAGAATCAGTTGCCTAAGTAGGGAACCAATCATCGCAAAGCAAAAAAGCCCCATTTAGACCATCGTTCTGCAATTGCGATTGCAAAAAGATCGTCATAATGCGGTTTCGTCTTAATGTGGGGCAATCGTAAAGCGAGGCACGACTGTAATCTTTGTTGCCCTCCCCTGAGCTTCTTCCAATATGTTAGCATCCTTATTGAAATGTAGTTTCCAGAACTGGACACAGTACTCGAGGTCTAACTAGTGCTGACTAGAGGGAGACTAGTACTTCATGGGATTTGGAGACTACACTTCTATTAATGCATTCTAAAACAGCATTGGCCTTTTTTGTAGCCACATCACACTGTTGACTCATTTCAGCTTGAGAGCTACAACAATTCCAAGATCCTTCTCACTCTTAGTAGTACTGACCCAAATAATACTCCATAAGTGTCCCCTATCTTTGTATTTTCCCCCCAGGTGCAGAACTTCACTCTTAACCCTGTTGAATTTCTTTCTGTTGTTTTCAGCCCAGTGCTCAAGCCTATCAAGATCATTTTGAATTTTGTTCCTGTTTTCTAGGGCATTAGCTATTCTACCCAATGTTGGTGGAAGTCAGACAGACACCATTAGGAGCTGTATGAGTAGCGTTTTTCTCACTATTCAGAAAGGAGACAAATAAGTGGATGATGAGAGAACTAATTTCTAATCTGTTAAAAGGAGCAAGATTGAATATTCTTATGAAGTGGAAATCAGCTCACAGCATAAAAGTGATCACTATAGAGAAGTTAAGAGGTCAAATCAACACATCATATATATAACTTAGCCTAACCATAGCCTTCTTGCCTTCTGTAATTTGCTTTGCTAAATAAATGTGTGAACCAGTTATATTAAGGGTTTTTGCTTCAATGAACAAAGGAGGGAGGCTGCTTGAATTCCTTTCACTTTGCAACTAATTCATCCTTGAAGAGATGGGTGCCTAGCATGGAACTGGGAAGAATGAATTATTGTCAACAGCTGGACACCTGCAGAACCTCCTCTTCCCCACCCTTCTCCTCTCCCTGTTTTGCCGCCCCTTCCATGTTGAACTTATAAACATTTATACTCTGTATCAGCAGTACACTTCTTCTCTGCATGTTTGGCGGGCGAAGTTACGTCTGTTTGCTTGCTTTCAGATGAAAATAAAGAAACTCGTTAATTGATCAATATATCAGAGACAGGTTAATGGCCAGGAATTAGTCCTGCCACCCTTCAGAAGTCTGGGACATAGCAGTTGTATGATGATGATGATGATGATGATGGTTTAATAATAAACTCACATGTAGTATAAAAGTTAAGAAGGTGAGAATTACTAAAGATATGCTTGCAAATATAAGGGGATAAAGGGGAAGGCACAGAGTTTAATGCATGAGTCTATAAATTTTGGAAGGGGAAGGGGGCCTCAGAAGGTTAAATTGTTTAAGCAGTTACTCCTTAATGGTCCTGGTGGTGGGTGCAATATGAATGTAGTTTGTTTTTTTAATTTCTGTTTTGTTTACTAGATGATTTAATGTTTAGTAGTTGTTGTAGTTAATAAACTTTTTAAAAAGGAGCTGTATGTGTGAAAAATTTGGTCAGAAGATGTCTAAAATTGTTAATCTTAACAATCAAGTGTAAATCATTTTAAAATATACAACTGACAAAAGATTCTGGAACTTCTGTAAAACAAATTATCACAATCAAAATTGATTTATTTATCATTTGTATTGAACAACGCTTCAAAGTGAAATTCAGGCTGTGCCTGTTATGTTAAAAAATCATTTACTTTTTACAATTTGTTGAACATAGTTTAATCTTATTTCTATGATTATTTCTATTAATAATTGCAAACATTACGTGGGAGAAACTGTTCAGCATTAATAAAACTGGATCAAGCAAGAAAATCTTAACATTAAGAAATCCTGGTATGTAAGTGTTTACTTCTGGTTGTCCACAAAAAGCAATGAGACCTGTGCTTTCCATTTTGGGTAGGAGGATGGTGATCTTGATGTAGAGATATTCTGTTACAGTCCCCTTGTCATGAACAAGGTCAGTATCAGGTGGAATTTAGATCCAGTAGGACTCAGAATCACTCCAGTGGTGGTAGGGGCTAAATGATCTGCCCCAGAAGACCCGTCCAGAAGGTTTTCTGATGGCTCACGGGTGTCTATCTTTCAGAAGACACCTTCTTAATTTTCCTCCCCCAAAAAATGTTTTCTAGAGTGTTGGTAAGAATGAAATGGGTGGGATGACAGCAAGTCAATTAATAATGGAGAAAAATTAAGAATGAGTCTTGACAAACATGGATTGGATCCCATTTAAAGGCCTAGGCTGTGGTAGAGCCAGAGTATTTTTTTAAACAATTGAATAATCTATACAGAATGGGAAATGCGTCAAGTAGGCCAGAAGAAGCGACCCATGGAAGAGATGCACCTTGCATATCTCAGCCGGAACAATAATAGGAAGATAACAAGCTTGAGCAATTTTCACATGACTTCACGTTGGCACCCCCAGAAACCATCCCTCCTTATGGAAACACGAAATAGGATTGCAGTTGTCCTGAATTCCACGTGATAGCTCAGTAGGTTAGGTTGGCCATTTGATTCCTCACTGTTCCTCCTTGACAGAGACTGAACTTGATGATCCATAGGGTCCCTTCCAGCTCTGGAGTTCTAGGATAATTATAATTATAATTATAATTGGAACCATAGCCTATTCCCCATTTGGATATACAGTATATATACACACAACCGATTCCCACTTCTCTTGACCCCCATTTAGAAACCCCGGGTGTTCATTATAACGATGGGGCTTGGCTACTTATTAATGTTATACAGTGAGTAATTCCTCTTGTTTAGAATTGGCATCTTAATTGGAAACTGGATTTTATCGTGCTGCAGTCGTGGCCTCTCCATTACTTAGGATATTTGGCTGAAGGAAGCCTCTTGTCTTCTGCCAGCCAATTCTCATTGTTTTGTTTCTTAAAGTAAATTAATATAATGTTAAAATTCAGGCAACATCTGGGAGAAACAACACTGTTCAAACCAACTAAATAAGCAAGTTAGAAGTGCTTAGGGGTGCAATCTATCATTTCCTGCCTGTAGCTGGCTCTTCCCCTTTCCTTGCCTTTGTCCCACTGAGACAGAATGAGCTGGTGAGCTAGAGACCGTGGCGGCTGCTAGCACTTCTGGAATCCTAGCCAAGCATAAAGAGCAGCAAAGTTGCAGGCGACCCTTGACCTGGGGAGGTAAGAGTACATGTTTGATGTCTCATCTTCATCTCAACAGAACTCTCCCCTTCAAGATTAGTAGGACATCAGAGAGAGTGATGGTCAGGAGTGGGCACTGATGTAGGTAGCCAAGCAAAAGTGACCTGCAGTCTTTTTAGGTTTCACTTTCTAATGTGGAATTATAATAGTGGCTTTTTAAAATGGGTTCGTTTTGTCAATTACTGAAGAGGAGGAAAATGCACTCCTTTTTTAATAGTATAAGATGTGCACAGATTTAAAATCCCACACAGTCATTTAGTTTAATATTGCTTTAGTTGTGTATAGGGTAGATTAGTATCTTGAATGTTGTGCCCATCTTTGCCTTTTACCATGTGGAGTGATGGCTGGTTACACTGGCAGTAACGTTTTTCCTAGGCTTCATTTAATTAGGCTAGAAGTAGAGGATTGCCTTACCTCTTTATTTCTTATTGCCTTTAGAGATCATCCTGCACATCATCCATTCAGTGACCTTAAGGTGCTAACTTGGTCTTTTTAAATGTTTACTCTTCCTTCTCAAATAAGCACACATATGCAAAGCAATTATTGGTCAGTTCTCACCCTTGCATGTTTTTAGTGTGTTTTACATGTGCAGTTTTTTGAAAAGAATATTCTCTGACTTAAAGCATTACATTTTAACAGGTAAACAGCAATATATCTGTTACAAAAATAACATGTGCAGTAGTTGGACCTGAAAAAACAAGACAAAGAAATTGAACTTATTAAAACATTTTCGTTTTTCAGCCCTCTCAGTTGCAGAGGACCAGAACAAATGTTGACAATAGCCAGACTCAGAAACATATAAACAAAACAGCTATGAATTTCTTTAATTCCACCATGTTTGGGATGGCTCTTATTATTACTTACCACAAAATTGCTATTGCTGTATTGCTGACACATCAGTTGTAATTGGAAAAATTACACAAGCCATAAAAATATACAAGAGACAAAAATGCTTTTTTGTTCTCTCTGTCAAAAGGGGAACCATAGCATTTTCACAGGAAAGAAAAACTAAGCTAAAGATATAATTGAAAGGCATTTCTGTATTTTTTAAAGAAAAGCCTTTCCTTAAAGCATGGTTTGAATTAATGTGCTGACTAAATGGTATTAATCATCGAGAAAGACCATGTGCAATCCAGAGCTGAGAGAATTCCTGTGTGGATGGGTGGGTATGGTTAACTTCCTGTTTGGGATGTCCATAAAGTTCATGGTGACCTGTTTTCAGGTTAGGAGAAAATGCAAAGACAACCTAGTAATCACGTTGGCAAATAACATATTCATGTGGCTGAGATGAATGATGGGAAAGGAGGATGAGCCACATAAGAAGGAGAGTTGTTCTTATATAGGATGAGAGTGCAGGCAGAAGAAAGAAAGGCTAGTTCGAGGTAGAGAGATTAGGCCATATCCATCTTCATGCGGCTTTGAGATAGCCAGTTCCGGTGGGAAACTGTGGTAATTCTACTCATTTTTTAAAAAGATTCAATTTTTCAAAATACCTCTGTTTTATGAATGTGGGTGTTTTGCTTTTGTACAGGTGATTCAAAATACCAAGAAATGGCCTGATTTTGATGCACAGTATTATGCCTGTGTTGCCAGCAGGAAAAGGATGCCAAACTATATACAGTGAAGGGCAGCCTGAATGCTGTCAACACCAATGGCAGCAGTCATGGTGGTCTACAGCAGGGGTCTCCAAACTTTTGAGAGTGAGAGCCACATCATATATTTTCCCCAGTTTGAGGGCCAAAGGAACATGCATGGCTACACGCCCACCCGCACCCCCTGCCTGCACACCCCTGCCTGCACAGATGTCCGAATGCCCGCACCCCCATCTGCACGGACATCTGCCTGCCCACATGGACAGAAGCACACACACATGCACCCCCACCCTCCCGGATGCCCACCACTCCATATGCACATAGATACGGGCTGAAATGAACAAGCCAAATAAAATGGTGGGATGTGGCCCGCAGGCCATAGTTTGGAGACCCCAGGTCTACAGGATACCATCTTGAGCTCACTACCTTTCACAAAGAGAACCAAGCAGGTGAAAATCTCAAAAGCCAAGGCCTTGTTCATCAGTTAACCACTTCTTACCCAAACTCAGAGCAAACTGCCATGATTGTTTTTCAACAACAGTGAATGGTACTGAGCACAAGCCCAATTTAAAATTTATTTATTTATTGGGCTGCCCCCATTTTTAGAATTGCATCATAGAATATTGATTTCCTCTCCCAGCACAAGATCATGGGTGCACTCTCATGCAGGCAATAACTATGAATTGTTAATGGTTAATTTTAATTAAAAACATGGTGGGTGAAAATAATAGAAACATTATTTCTATTATTTTATTGAGAAACATTTTATTGAAAGAAGAGAGTATAAATGAATATATAGTGAGAAACATTTGTACTGTATTATATTAACAAGTACTAGCTGGTATTGCTCAAGAGAGAAGAGATCTTGCCCAGCCCTTGAAATCCCCAGCAGCTGGAATCCTCAAGCTTTGAGCTGTTATTAATTTTACGTTTTAAGCTATAGTGGTCCCCAAACTTTTCAGTGAGGGCCACGCCAGATATTTACAAAGTTTTTGAGGGCCGAAGGAATGTATGTGTGTGTGCGCATGTGGATGTACATGTATGCACACACACACGCACATGCCCACTGCCACGCGCGCACACAGCCCCACTTGCCCCATGCAAGAATGCATGCATGCATGTCCCACACTCACACGCCCACCCGCACACACATACCACCGCACGCACATGCGCGTATGCACAGAGAGAGAGAGAGACGGATGCTCTCCATGCACACATGGGCTAAAGGGAATGGACTGGACAAAATGGCAATGCAGGCCAGATGTGGCCTGCAGGCCATAGTTTGGAGACCCTTGGTATAGAAGATACTCTTTTGGTTAGTCAAACAGTTATCCATTTAGATTAAAAACCGTCTATGTATATGGACTGAAATTTTGTCTAATACGACTGTAGATTTAAGTATATTCTCATCCATTTTACATATTTTATACCAATATATGCCTGCAACTTGGAGCTTTGTATTTGCTTCCTAAATACATTTTAGAAAAGATTTATTTCTGAACATTCAATTCATGAACGATATCAAAGGCATATCCATGGAAAGGGGTTGTCAATAAATAAAAAAGATGCAAAATCTGAGACTACAAATAAATTCCTTGCCAGTTGTGTGCAATAGGGAGTCTGCACAAAGCTGTGAAGACTTTCTCAGTGAAATCTGACAGTGCATATACCAAGATAGTGGCAGAGAATTATCTCTTGAATTTTCTTCCTCAGGAGCCAAGAGGTTTGGGCTGGACTAATGCAGCTGTGTAGGTCCCCATGTTCATTCATATAATGGGAGTAACAAGGGGCAAAGAAGAAGTAAGGCTAAACTTACACAACATGAATATATCACCAGATTCTTCATCTGAAATGAATTAATTATATGGCTTTTAAGGGGTAAGAAAGACTGCACACCCTCCAACTCGCACAAACCAATAGTCAGAAACTATAAGCAGCCAAGTACTCAAAAACCTGTCCAGATTTGGCAAAGTTTACTGAACCCTGACTGGAGGTGGGGAGCATGTGTATAGATATGCATGCACAACATTTGGACTGGAATGCCATGATTTTTGGCCTGACCTAGGGTACTGCAGAAAACTTTCTTCCAGACACTTATCATCACTTTTATTATTTGAATTTTGACTGAATCAAGAAACAGAATTCTGACCACTGGAGAACAGGGTAACACCCTTAATACATTAGCTTTAAGAAATAATGAAGTGAGTCATTCAGAATCTTTCCATGGCCTGTGGGTTCTTCTCCTTTGTTCCTCACCATACCTCTTGTAAACGTTCCACTTTAAAAGGCCAATAGGTGATTAAATATGACATCAGCATCATCTGAGCATATAAAAGGTGCCTACTAGGCACTAGCCCAAAGTATTTCATTGCCTGAAGAAGAAAACCCAAATGCTCATTCCTGTCATTAATTAACAAGAGGCAAAATCCAGGAGGGTTGGGAGGGGTGGGTTTGTTGGTTGGTTGGTTGGTTTAAATATATATATATTCCAGAGTGATCATTGATTAGATGGGCAGTATATATATATGCCCATTTTATATATTTTTATATATAAATATATATATTATATATATAAATATATAAATATATTTAAAATGGGCATATTTATATTATAAATATATAAATATATTTAAAATGGGATTTTAAAATATATTTAAAATCACATGATATGAGAACAACACAATTGCAACAAAATTAAATAAATTAAACAAATATTAAACAGGTTTAAATTTGGCAGCAGTACAATAAAAGGCTGATGTCAGCAAATTTTTAGATTGGCAGATATTGAAAAGCCTGACAAAACAGGTGTGTTTTTACCAGTTTCTTGAAAGATGCCAAGGAGGAGGCCAGGTGAATTTCAGCTGGCAACTCATTCCAGAGGTGAGTGCAACCACCAAGAAGACCTGGTTCCTTGTTCTCTCCTTCTGGGCGCTTTCTTGGAGTTAACTCCCTCAGTCATCCAGCCTGGGAGGAACAAGCAGGTCAGGCATTCCCAAACAGGAGTAGGCATTCTGCCATGAAACAAGATCCCAAACCATTTAGGCCATCACCCTGAAACTGATACAGAAGTACGTATATATCACTTGATTATTTTTATTTTTTCCCCATCTTGAGCCATATTACTACTGTTGCTTTTTATTTTATTATACTGTTTTAATTCTATTTTTATTGCTGGCCGCCCAGAGCAGACTTGTGTCAAATGGGCAGGGTATAAATAAGTAAATAAACAAACAAACAAACAAACAGGAAGCCAGTATAAGTCGGCCAGTGTCAGAGAAATGTGATATTTATTTATTCCCCTTACTAACCTGGCAGCCATATTCTGGACTTGTTGAAGCTGCTGTATCAGCCTCAGGGGCAGCCCCATGTAGAGTGCATCACAGTAATCTGCTTTTGAGATTACGAGAGCGGGGACCAGTATGATGAGGGAGCTGGCATCAAGGTATGTATGCAGTTGAGCAATTCACCTGTAGGAAGTTCTTCTGGATGAGGATTATGAAAATAAATCCTAGAAGGCTCTGGGAGGGTCAGCAAAAGGGATGGACTTAATAGCAAATAAAAATAGTTATTATTTAAGAGTGTATCAGTGCTTCTGTTCAGCAGCGATCGTTGACATATACGGCTGGGGCCCCATTTGAATTGTGCTATGCCAAGTGTCTTTGTACCATCCTTAAGGTCTCTCAAGGGCACCATCTGAGGTTGCTACCTCACACATTGGAAGAATGCCCAAGACCCCAAATCTAATTAATGCATTACTACTCTTGTTTTTCAGGCTCCTCCCACCATTTATTTTAAATAAAGATGTCTCCATTCCTGGCTAATGAAAGTTTATATAAATCTGATGGGTCCCTCATGTTACATCATACTCCTACATCTATCAGCATGATGGCTATCTTCTCTCTCATCTTCCTCCTGGGCCTTCCTGGAAATGGTTTGGTAATCTGGGTAGTCACCCTGAAAATGAAGCCGTCCGTGAATACAACTTGGTTTCTGCATCTTGCAGTGGCTGACTTTGTGTGCTGTCTGTCGCTGCCTTTCAATATTGTACATCTGGCTCTCCATGACCACTGGCCTTACGGCTGGTTTTTCTGCAAAATTATCCCATCAGCCATTCTTTTAAACATGTTTGCCAGTGTCTTTCTCCTCACAACAATCAGTATTGACAGGTGTCTGGTAGTGATGAAGCCCATCTGGTGTCAAAACCACCGAACAGTACGGTTTGCTTCACTGATATGTGGTGGCATCTGGCTCCTTGCTTTTATTATGTGTTGCCCTGCCTTTTTCTACCGTGAGACATCCATAGATGAACTTGGCAACACCAAATGTATCTACAGCTGGTATGGAGAAGAGTATCAGGAGGACAAAGAACTAGGTGGCCCATTTTCTTCTGACAATCTCTTTTTGATACACCCCACTTTAATGGCAGGTGGAATCTATGAAGACCCTTTAACTGATGGAATTCTTGATACTTACCCTAAGTACCATATGCTTAACACAGCTGGGAAGACCAATGCTCTACCTTCTAGTATATCAAACAGTGCTGGCAGCAACAGAGATGCATCACTGACAACCACTGACAACCCTACCAAATTTCCCAAAACCCCAATGAATACTGCCATATCCAATACTTCTAATTCAAATGTTCCACCTGTCAGTTTTTCTATGGACCTTTCTGCCAATAACGATTCAGTAGAAATGTACTATTATGGCTACTTTCCTGATAGCCAACCACCAAAGGTCTTTGTGTCCATCACCGTTACCAGAGCTGTCTTTGGTTTCTTCCTTCCCTTTGGAATCATGGCAACCTGCTATGCCCTTATCACTCACAGGATGTTAAAAAGACAATTTGCCAAGCTCCGCAGAAAAACAATGCAGGTGATCTTGCTTATAGTAGCAACTTTCTTTCTATGTTGGGCTCCTTACAATGTGATTGGGCTCCTATATCTCCTGGTTATTCCAGGCACAGAGTTTTCTGGAGTGCTGGCTTTGTGGGACCACATTTCCACAGTTTTGGCCTATGCCAACAGCTGTATCAACCCGCTTCTTTATGTGTTTGTGGGGAAAAAGTTCAGGGAAAAGGCACGGCAGACTGTGCAGGAGGTCTTTGAAGCAGCCTTCAGTGAGGAAGGCACATGGTCTACTGGCTACTCCCAGGACAGAAGTAAGACTACACTTGAAAGAGGTGTGGGTGTTTCTGCCCTCTGAAATGGTCTTCCAGGCAACAAGGACATCCTTCACTTCTGTGACTCCTTTATTTAATAGAGCAGCATGGATGTTACTACTCATTATTAAAATCTGTACTTCTTACATATAATGGCTATATAGTGCTGGGGATCTCTATCTGTACAATTAATGTCATATATCCATGTGCATTAATCTGTGTTATTATCTCTGACTATGAAAAGGAGTCTGTATATTTGTTTTATATTCTAGTAGTAGAACAGAATTTAATGTAAATAGTCTGTTTCCTTATAATGCTGTCAAAAAGGTAGATGCAGTCCTTAATTTCAAGCTCGAGACCTGTTAGCTGCCCTAGAATGATTTGCCAATATTCTTTGTGTATAACTGTCATATGCACAACAGCATGAATTACAGCAGAAAATTGTTATTTAAGGGGTTACTTACCTTGCCATATCACAGGCACTTGACTTGGCACACAAGTGGCAACTCCTTAACTAGCAGCAATCTGCCAATGTAATTAATGCCTTTGCACTTATACCAGCATATGTAAAATCTAGGATTCTGGTCACAGAAGTGTAGAGCTGGGGACCATCAAGCCCAAACCCCCTGCTGGGGGTAAAACAACATTCCTTAGTTCTAACCACACCTGAACAGGCTGCAGTTGTGAAGTAATTCTAATTAGAAAGAATGACTCCATACCTAATTCTTTAAACAAGGGGTCTAGGCCAAAGATGGAAGTGGTGCTAAATGGGCTTGGCTAGAGGGATGTTACATGCATGATACTAGTAGCTGAAGACCAATAGTATGTGAAGAATTTTATTTTACTTCTGCCATGGGATGTGGCATGAGAAGCACAAGCAAGATTATTGAACATAAAAACTGTTGCATTGGGTCCAGGTGAATCTGAGCTTCATATAGATTAACAACATCCACAGCCTACCAAAAATTCTAGACAAATGTGTGAATTCCTCAGGACTGCCCAGTTACTGAATTTTCTTCCACTACATCATAGGCGGGAAACAGGGGTAAATTACCCCAAATTGGGTAAAAGTGAAAATTCTGGGGGTAGTGAGTAGACTGCTACCCCCCTCTCTCCCTCCCTCCCACCCCCACCCTCTGCAGCCAAAGCTCAAATTGTAAGCCTACTTACAATTTGCAGCAGGGCACTTCTAAATGCCCTATTCTTTCAGTAGATCAGGAGATAAGCCTCCCTAACTGGTTACATCTGGGGATTAGCCCTGGGCAATCAATCAATCAGGGGCTTCTGAATGACTGCTTCCTCCGGAAATGACTGCAAACAAGCAGGAGGATAGAGAGGAGCAAGGAGCAAGCAAGGGAAAGGAGGGAAGAAGGGTGTGAGAAACAGACGACTTCATCAAGCTTATTTAAATGTACAAAATGGAGGGAGTTTTTTGTAGGTGAATGGCTGGCTGGATAGCTCAGTGGTTTAGGCATCTGATGGTAGAGCCAGAGTTTAGGAGTTTGATTCCCCACTGTGCCTCCTAGGGGAAGAGCCAGCCTGGGTGGCCTTGAGCATCCCAGGATGCCCCCAGAAGATGTAAAGGGTCCCCTTGAAAATTACCGTATTTTTCGCTCCATAAGACGCACCTTTCCATAAGACGCACCAAATTTTTAGGAGAAGAAAACAGGAAAAATATTATCTGCTTTCTTCTCCTAAAACTTGGTGAGCCTTATGGAGAGGTCCATCTTATGGAACACACCCTAGGGTCCTAGGGTGTGTTCTAGGACCCTTTGGAGACTCACCCTGCCCTTTGATATTGGGCTGTGGCACCAGGGTGGATGACATGACCTTTAGCCTGGTTTGTTCCTTTTTGCACACCACACATAGAATGTCATTGCTAGCACCACTCTGGTGATTATTAAATCCTCTGCGAGCTAGCAAAAATTTAATGCAACTTGCTAGGCACGTTGGACACCTTGCTACTCCCTATACCACACCATGGCTGGAGTGCAATGTGTTCCAGCAAAAATAGTGCACATCTTTATCAAATTTGGTGCATCCTGCTAGTTCAGTACACAGCCTGTGTAGATTCAATAATATTTTTAATTCAAATAATGTATGATTTCCTTCCTTTCAAATCAAGGGGGTAATGTTGGCATATATATATATATTTTGGGGGGGGGGTAAAAAGTAAAAAAGTTCCCTGACCCCTGCACTACACATTTACCAAAGACTGAGCTCCATTCAGAAAAGTGGCAAGACTGGCATTTTAGTGCTAGCTTTGGACACAATGTTGCATGAGAAAGAGATACATTTTGTTTCTGAGTTTGTAACCCTTTATTCTGTCATTTAAGGAACTTTGCTTTTGAACTTTTGCAATTGGGAGGTCTGTTTTTGTATATTTAGTAAGTTACTTTCAGATTGCTAAATAAACATATTTTTCCCCTTCACAATGGTCACACAGCTTATCCTTTGGCCTTAATTTAAGCACCCATCTTTCATCCATTTGTCTAATGTAGAACATGCAGAAATACAGGAGGAGGAGATTGGCTATCCCATTCAGAGCATCTGGATCAATCTAGATGGGGCAAAAATAAAAGGAACTTGGTAGTTGGAGTCTACTACCGACCACCCAATCAAAGAGAGGAAGTGAGCAAAACTTTTGAAAAATAAATTGCAGGGTTTCAAAGAGACACAATGTAGTAGTGATGGGAGATTTCAATTATCCAGATATATGTTGGGAGGCAAATTCTGGCAAGTATGGCCCTTCCAATAAATTCCTGGCTTATGTGGCTGATAATTTTCTCCTACAAAAAGTGGAGAAACAAACTAGAGGATTTGCTACCCTTAACTTTGATTCTGACCAACAGAGATGACTTGGTGGGGGTAAATGGTAGTAAGGAGCACTCTAGTCAAGAGAGACCATGTCCTTCTAGAATTCTTGATTTCAAAGGAAATGAAAGCAGAGTGTAGCTGCGCACTTCTGCTGGATTTTTAAAAAGTCAATTTTAATCATCTCAGAACAAGGATAAGTATGGTCCCATGACAGGAGATCCTAACAAGAAAAGGAGTCCCATAAGGGCGGGGGCTTCTAAAAGAAGAAATTCTAAAGGCACAGCTACAAACAATTCCAACAAGAAAAAAAGGAGGGAGGTGGCAAAAAAAGCCAGTATGGCTTCACAAAAAGCTCAGGGAAGACCTAAACCCCCAAAAAGACATATACAGGAAGTAGAAAGAAGGCCAGGCTACCAAGGATGAGGACAGACAAATAACAAAATGCGAGTATGGCATTAGGAGGGCAAAAGCTGAGAATGAGCTCAGGTTAGTTAGGGACACTAAAAGCAATAAAAAAGAATTCTTAAGGTATGTGAGTAGCAAAAAACAAACAAAAGACAGATTGGCACAGCTCTGCAATGAAGATGGAAAAATGATAACAGAACAAAGTGCCCTGTGCTCTTCAAATTTTTTTATTAATAACTTGCATGAGGGAGTGCAGGGAATGCTTGTTGAATTTGCAGGTGATACAAAATTGAGTGGAATAGCTAATACCCTAGAAGACAGAAACAAAATTCAAAATGACCTTGATAGGATGGAGCACTGGGCTGAAAGCAACAGAATGAAATTCTACAGGGATAAGTGCAAAGTACTGCACAGTGGAAAAAGAAACCAATTGCACACTCACAAGATGGGGGATACCTGGCTCAGCAAAACTGTGAGTGAGAAGGATATTGGAATTGTCGTAGATAACAAGCTAAATTTGAGCCAACAGTGCAATGTGGCTCGAAAAAAGGCAAATGCTATTTTAGGTTGCATTAATATAGTTTTCAAATTCTGTGTGATGCTAATTCCCCTCTATTCAGCATTGGTTAGGCCTCACCTAGAGTATCGTGTCCAGTTCTGGACACCACAGTTCAATAAGGATGCTAACAAACTAGAACAAGATCAGAGGAGGGTGACAAGGGTGATCAGGGGCCTGGAAACCAAGCCTTATGAGGAAAGGCTGAAAGAATTGGGCATGTTTAGTCTTGGAAACCCCTCCATGGATTGCTGCCTTGTCATGGCAAAGGGGCTTGAATAACTCAGAGAAGCTATGAGCTATGCTGTGCAGAGACACCCAAGATGGGCAGGTCATAGTGGAGAGTTCCGACTAAACGCAATCCACCTGGAGCAGGAAATGGCAATGCCACTCCAGTATCTTTGCCAAGAACACCCCATGATCAGAAACAAAAGGCTAAAAGATATGACGCTGGAAGATGGGCCCCTCAGGTCGGAAGGCGTCCATCATGCTACTGAGGAAGAGCAGAGGACAAGTACAAGTAGCTCCAGAGCTAATGAAGTGGTTGGGCCAAAGCCGAAAGGACGCTCAGCTTTGGACTGGCCTGGAAGTTAAAAGAATGTCTGATGCTGCAAAGAAAAATACTGCATAGGAACCTGGAATATAAGATCTATGAACCTTGGTAACCTGGATGTGGTCAAACAGGAGATAGTAAGAATCAACATTGACATCCTGGGCATTAGTGAACTAAAATGGATGGGATGGGGTGGATTCAATTCAGATAATTATCATATCTACTATTGTGGGCAAGAAACCCATAGAAGAAATGGATTTAAATGGGGAAAACAAAAAATCACCAAAAATTAACGACTCACCAAAAATAGACTCAGAACAAAGCCAAATTAAGTTTGCATAGGTTTCACAAGGTGCACTACCGATTCCAAGCATTTAAAACAGGTTTCAAACATTTTAAGACAGTTAAAAATGAGCGAAAACGGACATCGTTAAGTGAAAATCCCCCACAGAGAACATAGTTAAACGATGCGGAAAATTCCTCCAAGAAAAACATCGTTAAGTGAATTCTTCATTAAATGAAGCAATCGCTAAGCGAAGCACCACTGTACGTTAAAGTCCAACCCTTTAAGCCATTTCCTAGAATTGCCCTTTTGCTCACCTTCTGCTAAAACAACTCCAACTCTCCCCTCTTCTCTTCTGGAAAGGCCAGGCATCTATGGACCCCATTTGCACTTCTTTTCTGACCAGCCTCACAGAAATCCAGGCCTAAGGATTGATCAGTTTGGATTTCACTCTCTGGAAACTGACCAATTGGCTGGAAATACAGCTCTTGGTGTATGCAAACTCTTTTCCCCCCTCCTGGATAGCCAAGAAAACCATGGGGGTGGGAGGACAACCACTCTGGTCCTTTACCATACAATTTGCATTGGACAGGGCAGATGAATTTGAATTAAAACCCAGCAAGTACACAATATTGACATCAGTTTTGTCGGTAGTCTACTCTGATCTGATGCAAAATGGCACTTTTGGGGGTGTCAGTTCCCCTCAACCAAATACCTCTGGTCTCCAAACTGTTTCTTTAAAAAAGGTTTCAACTCAGTGCTGAAACACAGTATCAAGATCAATCTGTGAAAATAAGAGATGGAAATTGGCAATTTGCACCCTAAAACAACTTCTGCTGTTGCAGCTCCAAGCAAACCAAGCTGTCTCTGCCGAGTCCTGCAAATCATCTGAACTGTTTCAGTGATTTCACCCATAAAAACCTGATTTGATAAACAACAAATCATATATTTTTCTGCTGTGTAGTCACATCCTGTGCCAATTTTTTTCTTTAAAAGCTGCTTTGGTGCATTATTTTCAGGATCCTGAAAAGTTCATTCAGCTGTTTACTTTGTTCATTTTACATGAAGAATAGTCATCTATTTTTGAATACCTATCGGCATGGTTCTTTTAAAAATGTACAGTAGTTGGAAATGGAACTGTGTGTGGTTAAATGACTTCCCTTTTTAAAGCTGTAGCTCTTCAGCATACTGAATATATCAGCAAGACCAGTGTTGTGGCGAAAAACAAGATGATCAATTTTTTTAAGCTGCATTGTATTATGATTTCTGCCGTAGAACGTCCTGAACGAAAGTAACCAACGAAGCCTGCACCATGGATTTATTTAAAGGTTCCTTATAAAACTGGACTTGAGAGGTATAGGGCCAGAGTTGTTCTGTGGATGAAGTTGAAGACAGTTTACAGGTTCCTCTCTGCTAGTTTCCTACACTTCCCAACTGTGCTGATTGTCACTTACAGCCCCTTTCCTTAAACAGAATTTCCTCAACTGGAATTTGGTGTTATGGAGTGAATAGCGTTGGACCTGAAATATGAAAACCCTGAGGCAAATCCTCATTCAGCTGTTAAGTATGTGGGGTGGCTCAGCCATCTATGAACTGCATACAGTTGCTCTGAAAATAAAATTGGATTCCCCAAATATGCTTCCTGAGCTCCTTTCTAGATTCCGAGACCACAATTTCAAGCGCATCTTCAGTTAAAAAAAAAAGATGAACAGGAATCTGAATTTTACACATCTTCTGTGCTACTGCACTATATGCAGCCCTTTGGATATTACTTATATTCATGAGCAAACTCCACTTTGACAGTAAATACACACAGGTACAATTTCAATGAATAATCTGTTTTCCAGATATTGAAAAATTTGCACACACTTGTTTCAGTAAGAACAAGAAAATGTTTTCTAGGTATCTAAGCTTAGTAATCCAAGTTTCATCCTGCATGTCATGGACAAATTAAAACAGGCACCAAAACAGTTAAACCATAAACATTCACTTTTTTAATTAAGAAAGCATGCACAAAAATAAATCTGTGAGGCCACACCCCTCTCCCATCTCCATGACACAAAGAACTGTGGGTTGCACTGCAGCGGGTGGGCAGACGAGGGATTCCTCTCCTTGGCTGGCTGGTTGGCAGGCAGGCTGGCCGGCCAGCCCTTTGTGCTGATTCTTTCTCCTGGACAGGCTGTGTCAGCTGCTCACACGGCAGGATTCCAGTGCTGAGTCTATGACTCCATGTGTCCAATCCAATATAAACCCACTTAAGAATGACAGTTAGTTCAGAGGAAAAGGGAGGATGAGGTTAATTTGCACACTGAGAGGCATATATCTACATACACAGACAAGGCGCCAATAACTATGTGAATGAGGAGCCTTTGGATATATATAATAGTATGAGCTTCTATTTCTCCCAGTTCCTTGCCTCCCCATGTTCTCTGAAAAGGCCAAGTGAGCCTCCTGTGAATCTCATTTTCAGAAAAAGCACTGACAGGCATCTAGATGGAAGGGACGTCATCTCTATGTTATGTTCCTCAGAATCTCTCCTACAAGGCTCTGCTGGTCACATCTCTCTCATCTTATGACAGTGCAAGCAACATTAAAAGTCCTCCACGGATTCAGGTCAGGGATTTTCCATTCCTCTCAGAACACACGATGACCCCTTTCCCCCACAACCACAAAAGTCCCCCCCTCCAAAATTCAGTGAAACAGCAAATGAAAAGCAACGCTACAGAACGTTCCCACACCTGGCACAGCACAGTCCCATGATGTTTTTGCTTCCAACTTGGTTTCCCCCGACACACAAAGCAGGCTTGCTGTTGGAAGGGCATGCAGATTAACAAGAGGTCTGGTTAAAAGAGAGTCACACTAGAAACTGAAAACAAAGCAGAGAGGGCCCCCCGCTCACCTCGATCCAGCTCAAAACCCATTCCAACCCATTCCCCATTGGGCACTATCATTCTTCCCCATCTTCTATGGTCTACCACACAATCACCTTCTGCCTTTGCTGAACCCACTTGAATTGGAAGGACACTTTCAGCTTTCATTCCAAACAACACACTTCCAGTAGTTCCTCTACAGTCTGCAGCAAAGTGCCCGATTCATAAACCGATAATTTTAAAGTTCTGCCCACCAGACTCAACTCAGAATTACATTCTTATCTTCATATTACTTCATCCACAAAACAGGAAGCATCAATTGCTCATTAAAATAAGGCAGAGAAAATACCCTCGAGTTCCACTCTTGCATTAGAAGCCACAACCCTTTTCTAAAGAACTGAGAGTAAGTTAAAAAAAAAACAACAACACTGCAGGGAAGAGGATTATTTCTTGATTTGCACCTTATCAGCATATTCAAATACAAGTCTTGCTGCATTATGAAAGAAGGCAAAGGAGGAAAAAATGCTGTGTTACAAGCCCTGAGGAGTCTGGTTCAAACTCTGTACCCGACCCACATGATGCAGATACAAGCCAAACCTGTTAAGCTTTCTTCATCTGCTGGGGGTGGAGAGTGCAAATTGGCAGTGATTGAAAAAGGCAGTGTAGAAAACAGATAAAGGCCCCCCTTTGTCTTTTTCAGACACTCAGTCCCTACCAACAGCAGATTCTAAACCACGGTTTCAGCTTGAAAGAAAGTCCCGCTTTCCACTCAGGACTTCTCTCTTCCTATCAAGCCCCAATACCAGCCAAGCACCACATCTCTAAAGAATCCCATTCTCTGCCCTTGTTATTCCCCTGCTTCTCTTGCTGTCCCTTCCTGGTGTACGAAAGCCTACTTAATCAGTCCCTCCCCCTTTCCCCTTTACAACATTTAAGAAAGAACATAATTATTACAGACTCCCAAGATCCATAGGGCTCTTGAACTCTCACAGCCAATAAAACAGAATCACTGGTCACCTTGAAGGGAAAGAAGGATTGTTTAACGCAAGTGCTGGAGGAAGAGAAAGATGCCTTCAGAAAGTCCTCCTTTTGAGGTTTCCTGATGATAGCACTGCAGAACAGTCTTTCTACCCTCCATCCCACAGAGGGCGCCAGTAAACATGTAAAATCTGGAGCTGGTAGGTGGAGTGGAAGGGCTGTGCACAATTACTGATGATGACGACGACGATGATAATAATAATAATAATAATAATGAAAAAGAAAATAAGGTAAAACAAGGAGCTCAAGGAAGGATTATCTTCGGCAGCATCTTGCGGCAGCTTCACTGGCGGAAGTAGAGAATATATATTTATATACAGGCAAAGAAAGAGACCAAGGATGTTGGTCCTATGACCTGAACCTTAGGCTCTCCTTCCCACATCCTATAAAAGGGGAAGTGCTATCAAGTCTGTAACTTGCTAGGTGATCAAATCCCAGTTAAAATCATCAGGAATTTCCTCACTGGCACCTGGAGGCGGCCGTGGAACCAGATGATGACCTGAGTATATTGAATACAAAAATGGGGGGGAAAGGGGAAAAGTATTTTTTTATTTTGAAAACTTGACAATAAACACCTGTACATCATTAATTTTTCTTCTTCTCAAAGCCTAGACGGGTAATGGCCAAAATCCTACCAGTAATTGCAGAACATAGCTCTGCTGGTGGTACATTTCCAATTTGCTACAGTTACATTCAACTTGCAGTTATGCAAGCTGGAGACTGCCCCACTGAAAAGAAGGCTTACACCTGCACAAGGGATACTGAATAATTCTTTATGCAGCTGGTATAAAAAGACAACCACAGACACAACCTGTTGCACACATGGAAAGAACAAGCAGGATTTTAACCACAGTGTTTTACTCCCCAAATACCCCACATTTTAGGCTGTAAAAACCAATATTAGGTTCCAATGATAATAATAATGAAGAAAATTATTTATTATTATTCATATACATAGTAATGATGAATAATTTTCATAACCTTATACTTTTTTCATTCAATATGCTTTGGAAATACTTTAGCACTTCAAAAAGGCCTCATGGCTGAAAGCTTATGCAATTCACAGAACATTGGTACAGTATTAGAAATAAATCCTGTGGGAGTGTGGCTCCAGACTCCTACTGCCTTGCAGAACTGGTTCCCTGCATCCGGCTGCTTCTCACCCCCTTGTCTACACTGGCCACCTGGCTCTAGGAGAGAAGGGGCCTACATAAGGAGCCTTCTAAGGAAAGGGGTGGATTGGTGGGGTGTTGGGTGTTTGGTTTGAGGACTGAAAAATAAGGGTGAGGTCCATTCTTCCTGCCTAGAGGGATTCCTTTCTTATTTGCCTGCCCGTTGCTGTCGTCTGGGGTGGGAGGGATGTATCTTTCAAATGAGGAGTCCAATGAGCGGGAGTAGGGAGCTGCCATTGGTAGAGGGAGATATGAGGAGAGGAGACAAGAGAATCATTGTAGGAAAGGGGGAGGGAGCAGGATTCTAGTCACCCCCAAATGTCTTGTCTCCCTATTCAGCCAGCCTGCATAGCCATGCCAATAGTCCCCCTGGGTTAAAAATGCTGCTGCTGAATGCCAGGTCAGTAAAAGGGAAAACATCAGCCACCCAGGACCTGATCCTGGATGAGCAGGCTGACCTGGCCTGTATTACAGAGACCTGGCTGGATGAAGCTGGGGGAGGTAGTCTCTCCCAGCTTTGGCCACCTGGGTGTGGCGTAGCAGGCCAGACCTGGGGGATAGGGAGGTGTAATAGTCTATCGTGATTCCATCCCCCTCACCAGGTGCCTTGTCCCACAGTTTTCTGGGTTCAAGTGTGCAGGGGTGGAGGACCTATTAGGATGGTTCGCCCCAGGAGACTGATGGATCCAAGTGGTTTTCTTATGGCTCTTGGGGAGTTTCCTGTTCCCTCAGCAGGCGATCCTGTCCAAGCTCTGGGATAGGGAGGTGTAATAGTCTATCGTGATTCCATCCCCCTCACCAGGTGCCTTGTCCCACAGTTTTCTGGGTTCAAGTGTGCAGGGGTGGAGGACCTATTAGGATGGTTCGCCCCAGGAGACTGATGGATCCAAGTGGTTTTCTTATGGCTCTTGGGGAGTTTCCTGTTCCCTCAGCAGGCGATCCTGTCCAAGCTCTGGACACAATTGCTCCTAAGCGTCCTCTCCCACGAAGTAGAGCCAGGCAAGCCCCCTGGTTCACCAGGGAGCTGGCAGTGATGAAACGAGTGGGACGGAGGCTAGAGCAACAATGGTGGAAAACTCAGAGTAAATCCGACCGAACACAGGCTAGAGCCCATTTGAAGGCCTATTCCGTGGCAGTGTCTGCAGCAAAGAAAAGGTCCTTTGCTGCTGCCATTGCATCTGCACAAAGTCGTCCAGTGGAGTTGTTTCGAGTGGTCACGGCTTAGTACTTGCCCCACCAAAACCTTGACCACTCCACACCCCGCTGTGAGGAGTTTGCATGAAACTTTACAGATAAAGTCGCTCGGATCTGCTCTGACTTGGATGCTGTAATTGATACAGACCCAGTGCATGTAACTTTGGCCTTGCCTTGTCCTATTTTAATGGATACTTTTCAGTTGGTGCAGCCTGATGATATGGACAGGATTCTTGGAGAGGTGAATGCCACCACATGTGTGCTGGACCCTTACCCTTCCTGGCTCATAAAAGCAGCCAGAGGAGGAATGGCCAATTGGGTACGGGGAGTGGTAAATGCCTTCTTGAAGCAGGATCTGTGCTTGCTTAAAGGAGGCAGTAATAAGACCACTACTGAAAAAGCCGCAGAAGCCTGTGCTACAGGGTCAGAAGACCAAGCAGTCATAAGATCGAATCCACGCGACGGAGTGAGCTCCCGTCGCTTGTCCCAGCTCCCGCCAACCTAGCGGTTCGAAAGCATGCAAATGCAAGTAGATAAATAGGGACCACCTTGGTGGGAAGGTAACAGCATTCCGTGTCTAAGTCGCACTGGCCATGTGACCATGGAAACCATCTATGGACAAACGCTAGCTCTACGGCTTGGAAACTGGGATGAGCACCACCCCCCAGAGTCGGACACGACTGGACAAAAATTGTCAAGGGGAACCTTCACCTTTTTTAATAAGACCAGTACTGAAGAAGCCCTCCCTCAATCCCAGTGTACCGGATAATTACTGACCAGTCTCAAACATCCCATTCCTGGGCAAGGTACTGGAGCGTATGGTGGTTTCTCAGCTCCAGGAATTCCTGAAGGAAGTGGATTATCTAGATCCATTTCAATCTGGTTTCAGGTCTGGCTATGAAACACAGACAGCTTTGGTCGTCTTGGTGGATGACCTATGCCAGGAACTGGATAGGGGGAGTATGTCCCTGTTGGTTCTGCTGGACCTCTCAGCAGCTTTTGATACCATCAACCATGGTATCCTTCTGGAGGATGGAACTCGGAAGCACTGTTTTATAGTGACTCCAGTCCTTCCTGGAGGAGAGAACTCAGAAGGTGGTGGTGGGCAACTCCTGCTCAACGCCCTGGCCATTGGCCTGTGGCATTCCTCAGGGTTCTGCTTTCACCCGCGCTTTTTAACATCTACATGAAACTGCTGGGAGACGTTGTCTGGAGTTTTGGGGTTCGATGTCACCAGTATGCGGATGACACTCAATTCTATCTCTCCTTTCCACCTAGTTCCAGGGAATCTGTCTTGACTCTAAACCAGTGCTTGGCATCAGTAATAGGCTGGATGAGGGCAAACAAATTGAAACCTAATTCAGACAAGACAGAGGTGATCCTGGTTAGTTGGAAGGCAGATGAGGGAATAGGGATACTACCTGTGCTGGATGGGGTTACACTCTCCCTGAAAACTCAGGTCTGCAGCTTGGGTGTATTAATGCATTTATTCTAAACCTGGATGCCCAGGTCTTGGCAGTGGCCAGGAGTGCATTTGCACAGCTAAAGCTGGTGCACCAGCTGCGCGCCTTTTCCTTCAGATGTTGATCTGGCTACAGTGGCACATGCCTTAGTTACATCCTGTTTGGATTACTGTAACATGCTCCATGTGGGGCTGCCTTTGAAGATGATTTGGAAACTTCAGCTGGTGCAAAACTCTGCAGCCAAACTACTGACTGGGCCCAGCTACAGGGAGCGTATAACGCACCTGTAACAAGAACTGCACTGGCTACCAGTCCGTTTCCGGGCCCAATTCAAAGTGCTGGTCATTACCTATAAAGCCCTATACAGCTTGGGTCCAGGCTACCTCCCTATATGTGCCTTCTTGGCGAAAGAGCAGAGGAGAACCTCCTCTTTGTCCCATTCCCAGCACAGCTGATGGGGACATGGGAGACGGCATTTTCTGTCGCAGCTCCCAGGCTATGGAACACTCTCCTTCAGGAGATCAGGATGGCTCCGTCCCTGTTATCCTTCCGAAAAAAGTTACAAACCCATCTCTTCAAGTCAGCGTTTAACAATTACAACTGAATCCCTGAACCCCATTTCAGCAAACAATTTTAATGTTTTAATCTAATTTTAAATCATATACTGTTTAATTTATCTTTTAATATTTAACTTACTGTGTTTTTAATTGTGTGAATTTTAATGTTGCAAGCTGCTTTGTGTCCCTTGTTGGGATACAAATATAAATAAAACAAATAAAACAATATTTAAGTGAAGATGTTCTTTGCTATATAATTTTCTCATGAGGAGCTGTAATGTAGATCAATATGCATGGTGACTGGGAATGATGACAATTGTAATCCAACAATCTAAAGAGTACAAAATTGGGGAAGACCTGCATAGATACAGGTGAAGTGCAGACCTGTAGAGGCAACAAAAGCAGAATTCCTCACCAACAAAATGCAATTTTGTTTTTGAGGTAAGACAAATTAGTAGATTAATACAACATATGTGCCAGATATCCACAGCAAATAAACGAAATCCCAGCATTTCTTGGCTACACTCCAGCATGGCCAAAAGAAGAGGTGGGAAAACTGCAATGGAGATGAGCATGAATGGACCCTGTTCTCATGGGTTGCTCAAACTCGTTGCCTGTGGGACTCAGGATGAAATAAAAGATGCTTTCACATTATACTATCCTTTCTCCATTTTTGTTTTACAGAGCACCCATATTACAGTGTTGTTAGCCTAGTGCTTTCTAGAGTTTTCTGTGCTCTATTGTCTCTCTTCTCGGGTCTAAATTTAGAACTGTTCTTCTGAGTTTAATACAATTGGAGCACTAACATGGACAGGTGCAACACTACTCATCCACCTGGAAAGATTTTTTTAAATTTCTCTCTTACAGGAAAAACAATGCAGAATCCAGTGTCACCTTAATGGATAACTAATTTATTATAGTGCAAGATTTCACTGTACTTTACCTGGACGATTATACCCTGGTGAGTCCTGGGTAGATATCTGGTACATGGGAGATGGCACAGGGTAGAGATGGGAAGGTTGTGGCTGACCGTAAGAGTTCACTAGTAGACAAAAAAGGGTGAAGAATCATTAATAATAAACTGCTTGCAGTCTGAAAAAGAAGAGACTAAGGCAGGCATCGATGTCATCATCTATAACCCTTGCCAGCTTTCTATAGATCTAGCAACCTCTCGGAAGCAGATAATAGAAGTATGACTGAAAATTGCAGTATTATATCACCTGCTTTTCTCAGATATTCAAGATATTCTTATTTTTTGTTGCATTACTTTGCCTTGGGTTGGTAAATGTATCTACTTTTGTAACTGATCATTACATGTCAGCACTATTGACTAAACAAAACGTCTAAATTTGCTTGCCCAACTCTTAACATTTCTCTTTGTTTCACTAATCTTTCAAATATTTACTGAGCAATGCTTCCATGTGGATCCATAAATATTTTGACTAGCTTGCTGCCTCCACACATCAATAGGGGTTTTTTTGTTGTTTTTTAAATTTTTTGGCCATATCTATATTCTGAAAGAAAGAAAAAACAATAATCACCACTATTCCAATTTATAATTCCTAATCTGTTTACCTGGAGTGTGCCAGAATCCTACTGGTGTTCACATAAGATTTGTCTAACTTCCCACAACTAATAAACAAGGTGCTGTTGTGTGTCTTGTTGGCATTCTTGGCCTCATCTCAATTGAATGACTAGGATGTGCCCTTGCACCTCATTAATTAGCTACAGTTAATTCATGGATTGCTACCTTGTTGTGGCGAAGGGGCTTGGGTAATTCAGAGAGGCTATGGGCTAGGCCGTGCAGGGACACCCAAGACGGACAGGTCATAGTGGAGAGTTCTGACTAAACGCGATCCACCTGGAGCAGGAACTGGCAAGCCACGCCAGTATCTTTGCCAAGAAAACTCCATGGACAGAAACAAAAGGCTAAAAGATATGTCACTGGAAGACGAGCCCCTCAGGTCAGAAGGCATCTAAAATGCTACTGAGGAAGAGCGGAGGACAAGGACAAGTAGCTCTAGAGCTAATGAAGTGGTTGGGCCAAAGCCGAAAGGATGCTCAGCTGTGGATGGGCCTGGAAGTGAAAGGAAAGTCCGATGCTGCAAAGAAAAATACTGCATAGGAACCTGGAATATAAATCTATGAAGCTTGGGAAGCTGGAGGTGGTCAAACAGGAGATGGCAAGAAAAAACATCCTGGGCATCAGTGAACTAAAATGGACAGGAATAGGCGAATTCAATTCAGATGACTATCATATCTACTATTGTGGGCAAGAACCCAGTAGAAGAAATGGAGTAGCCTTCATAGTCAACAAAAAAGTGGGAAAAGCTGTAATACAATCTCAAAAATGATAGAATGATTTCATTACGAATCCAAGGCAGACCTTTCAACATCACAATAATCCAAGTTTATGCACCAACCACCAATGCTGAGAAGACTGAAATTGACCATTTCTATGAAGACTTACAACACCTTTCTCTCTTCTCTCTCTCTCTCTCTCTCTCTCTCTCTTTTTTTTGTTGCTATTCCATCTTGGTAATCCTCTCTTTAAATTAATTGTTTTAAATTGAAATTTGTAATTTTATGATTTTATATATTTTTATACTGTTTTGTTTTATTTTGTAAGCCGCCCCGAGTAGACATGGTCTAGAGG